ATTATGAAATCTGTGACGTTTATTGATCAGTTTGTTAAGATACCGACTCATTTTATAACAACACTAACAGCAAGTATAGTGTAGGTTCTGGTCAATTAATATTTATATTTATTCCTATTTGACTTTGAAACAAGAGTAAAGTGTTTTCTCGTATATATTTTAATTATATTTTGTGTTTCATTGAGAGAGTTTTACTGTAACCCGAACTCAAAATGTTGTTTGTAGCAATTTTGTGCAGTCAGAGTACATTTTTCAAAAACATTTAGTAAAATTTTAATATTTACACTGGCAGTTCTAATAACCATATAGAGAGCACTTGACATCTGACAAGTTTTGATTACAATAGAACTTTGCTAACTATATTACACCTGGAGTCTCTTTGAAGTCGCGATTGTCGTTTTGTTGACATATTTTCAACGCATCTCTGTATAAACTACTACAAATTAACCTACTCTGCTTTTCTAAGAAGTACGACTGCATAAACCCAAATTTAGAAGGTTGATAAATGGTATGCAATTTAAATAGAGCTTCTAAACCCTTGAATGAAATTTTATTATGGCACAAGAAATCGTTGTTATTTCTATTGTTTTAAATGAAAGACTCATATTTGGTGAGATTTCACTGAGGGCATGTAAGGTATTTATTACTCTATGAAAAAGTAGTCGCTCACCTTGGTCGCTAAATGCATTCATTCAAAACGTACTATTAGTGTAAGTCAATTCATTCACAAAATATAAGGTGCCCATTTTTTATTTATGATTCTATCCCTACCCCTATCAATATTAAAACGAATATTACATATCATATAGATGCAAGGTTCTTGAACAGAATAAAAAAAAGCTATAAAAATTGCTCTTTTTAGCCAATATCTTGATCTTTAACTTGTGTGAACCAAAGCTTAGCACTTCTTTCTCCTTGCTTATTACTTACAAGATACTAGATGTACTTCCGCAGGGTCCCCGAAAGTGTTCTATTTCAAGAGTAAATAAAACCAAAATGAAGAGTAACAAATATTTTTATTTCTTGAGTTTGAAGTTCTTATGTCATGCTGTGTTATAGCCTACAGAGTGCATAATTCTTCTTGTGATTCATGGCAAGCACACGTTTTACAGACGTCACGACAATACAAGTTGCAACGTTAAGCGTCCCTTATGTGACGTCATTTTAGTGTTTACTGACAATACACTACTGTATTGTGGTGCGAATGGTTAAAAAAGGTGACCCCCCCTCCAGACAGCCTTCGGTCCATATGACTAATTCTGTGCTATTTTGAAATATATCTTAAGTGATAAAAATGTACAAGACAGACAAAATGACAAAAACTAAAGGTCAGTCACGACACTCCCACCAGTTAGTTACTCGTGGAGAGGAAAAAGTCTCAAGCTACTTCACCTATTATATTTACTAAATTGTGTCATGCAGAAACAGTAACATATTTATAGAAATGTAGTTATTATGAAGTAATCGTTTCGCAATGACAAATTTAGAATATTTGTGTAAGAAAGCACTCGTTGTTGCAAATGCTGGCAATTGATTTTTGTTTTCAAACAGTTACAGACATAGTGAAAATTAGCAATGGACTGTTATCATTACGTCATCTACTTAGCGTTTTTCAAAGTAAGGATATTATTATAAATCTAATAATAGCTAGAAAGATCATTATTTCAGTGGTATCTTAGGAAGACACAGTAGAGTTTTGGCTTTAATGGATTGCTCCTGGCTGTCTTTAGACGTTTCGACTTCTATAAGGCCTCACTTAGTATAAAAGTCGTCCAACTTTAGAAACAGCCAAGAGCAGTCCATTAAAGCCAAAACTCTAAAGATCATTCTTGTTTAATTTTAGTTTTTCTAGAAATGTACTGTAGTCAATTGTTGTTTATTAGGCCTAGCTTTTAGAATTAAAAACTATAAAGCTTTCTTTTATTATGTTCTGAAGAAACAAGAGAACCTATTTGTTAAGAATGAAGCGACAATTACAAAACCAAGCCTAACGCAATACAAAAAGAAAGTTAGGTTTGCCATTTGTGATATGATAGGATATACTTCGGATAAGTCAATCAAACTTATCTGTCTCTTACATCATTATTGAATTAAATAGTTTATATTACTTTTAACTTAACTATAAACCTACTTTACAACTTTGATCACTGTTATATCAGCGACTAGATTGGCGAGCATATTAATCACCAAGACTCAATAAACTAATGAAAAGACAGAAAAAAGGTGTAATAAAGACTCATCTCTATTGGTTGATTCTGAATAATCAAATAAATAAGGATAGTTTGTATACTAGCTCTATTTTTGTCTTTAAAACACAGCAGAATGATAAAAAGGTGTAACAAAGACTCACCTCTATTGGTTTATTCTCAATAATTAAAGGAATAAAGATAGTTTGTAAACTAGCTCTATTTCTGTCTTTAATAATTAGCAAAGTAGAAAAGATTCAAGATTCAATAAAGACTCACCTCTACTTGTTGATTTTAAATAATTAAAGAAACAAAATTAGTTGTAAATTAGCTCTATTTCTGTCTTTAGAATGTAAAAAAAAGATCCGATAACTTAACCTGGTAGTTAGGGTAATTACTTCAAGGGGAGAGGTAGAAGCGATGACGTCATAATTGCACAAAATGGAACCAGAGGGCGCTTTGCTAGGTGCACCTTGTCAGCCGCCATGACAGACAGATGTTGTCACGCCACAATGACAGTGGAAGTTGTCTGCTGCCAGAGAATGCAATGCTGGACGTGACATCATAGTTCGAGTGTTACTCAAGAGAAACCGTGTTGCTAGAACACAAAGAAGGCACCAGACGGTGTGTTGTTAGGGGAAGGGTAATATCATAATTCGCTACCAGAGGACCTCTAACTATAGGCGAACGGTGTTACCAAGGTTTTATAGTTGGACGGAGTTTCTATAGGTGGATTGTGTTACTAAACATATTGTGTGTTTTACAAAGGCAGATGACGTTCCTATAAGCGGAGAGTGTTACCATACTTTCGTAGGACTGCACACAGATTTCAACTTGTCTCAATTTATGTTTATATTTTTCATTTATACATTTAACTGTCGTACATGTGTTTATACAGAAGGGTATTGTTACTAACACAATTAACGTACTGCTGAATAGTTTTGATCACATCTAATGTATTATTTTCATAAATGATGAACAAGACACTTAGCATAGCTGATTGTGTTTTTTATGTATCGATTTAGTATACATTTAATGTACTGATTATAGATTTCACTTCATATTTAATTTGCATGTCATACTTTTTGCATTTTCTGATATCTTATAAGTAAACAATTTATCGCTAATCCATTTGTTCTATACATTTGATTTCTATATCTGGTATGTTGTATGACATTTGTTTGTCCTGAAAAGAATGATTATTCAATTCTCTAAATAACATACAATGATATTCATGTTTAGCTTTATAATTAATTTGTTCCACTAAAGTTTAAAGGATCTATGTAAATAACTATGTTTAACCATTCTATTGTAGAAAGTTATATCCTTACCTTTCTGTGGATATTTTCATTTTGAACATCAAACTACTAGTTGCTCTTTTCGCTTCTATTTGAGGCTATTAACAATGTCATCACATACAATCAACAAATGGTGTGGACATTTCAATCTTATTGGATATTTAGACTGACTCGTCACAGTCGACAGTAGATCGACCTTTTACTAAGAAGAGGTTTGTTTGTTTGTTTTGAATTTCGCGGAAAGCTACACGAGGGCTATCTGCGCTAGCCGTCCCTAATTTAGCAGTGTAAGACTAGAGGGAAGGCAGCTAGTCATCACCACCCACCGCCAACTCTTGGGCTACTCTTTTACCAACGAATAGTGGGAATGACCGTCACATTATAACGCCCCCACGAGCATGTTTGGTGGGACTGGGATTCGAACCCGCGACCCTCAGATTGCGAGTCGAGCGTCCTAACCACCTGGCCATGCCGGGCCAAAAGAGAGAAAAATGACAAACGAGTTTCAGAAAGTGCAAAACGCATGCCATCCAAATTAGATATAAAAACAAAAACTATAATCAGTATGTTAAAAATGTACTAAATAGATATATAAGAAACACAATCAGCTATGTTAACTGTTTTTCTCAATATTTATGAAAAGAAATACGTTAGATGTGATAAAAACTTTTCAGAAGTATGTTAACTGTGTTAGCAATACTATCTTCCAGTATAAACACATGCAATACAATTATATATATAAATAGAAAGTATATAAACATAAGTTGAGGCAATATAAAATGTATATGTGATGCTACAGAAGTATAGTAACACTCTCTGTATATAGAAACACACGTAATACACTTAAATATATAAATGAATAATGTAAACATAAATTGAGACAAGTTAAAATCTGTATTCGATTCTATAGAAGTATAGTAACACTGTCCGCTTATAGAAACACCATCTGCCTTTGTAAATCATATAAGCAATACGCCTAGTAAGACCACTCGCCTATAGAACCTTACTAAGACAATCCGCCTAGCAACACTAAGACCTATACAAACACTATCTTTAGTAAAACAACCCACATATAGGGAAGTCATCTGCCTAAAGAACCTTGGTAACACTGTCCGCCTATAGTAACAGGCCCTCTGCTATCGAAGTATGATGTCACCCCTCCCCTACCAACGCACTCTCTGGTACTACTTCGTGTCCTAGCAGCATGTTCTCTGTTGATTAACACTTGAACTATGATTCTCTGGCAGCAAACAACTTTCGTTGTCAAGTGTCATGGTGACATGACAACATCCACCTCTCATGGCAGCCTAGCAACGCGCACTCTGTTTCCACTTCGTGGAACTTTGACGTCATTTTTTTACCCCCTCCTCTCCCCCTAAGGCAGCCAATCCTCTTGGTTACTCTTTGATCTTGAAATGAGGCTACTTTGTGAACCACTTTAAGTTTGAATAGAAATATAATTTAAATCTTCTTAAATTAGCATTATAGATTTATATAATAGTAGAACAAAACTAACCGCTATACATTCGCAGTGCACACAGTGGAGAATCCCAAATGGAGGGCCCAAGTCTGGCCGCCATCTTTCCTCAATTTCATAAGATCCATTTCCCAGTTGACAATCTGGTGATAAGAATACAGCAAGAAGTGGTGAATTCAACGCATACACATACAAAAACTATTCAATACTCCTTGTATTTCGTTTTATTGCTAAAAACCTGTATTCTTTATGGCGAATAACGTGATTTAAAAAAAATACATGCAGGTGCACTTGTTTGATAAATTAACGAGAAATACTCAGCTCGAAATAACTTGACAATAAGTAACAGTAATAGAAACATGTGTCACAATATAAAAAGAAAATTCATATTCCCCATTTAAGTATAATGTTCAGCAACGACAGTAATGTAACAATTAAAGGATAGAAGTGTATATATAAACGTATAACAAAAACTACGTATTTTTTGTATTATTTACCATATACAAGATTAACGTTAACATTGTCATATAGAGAACATGTCAAAACAAATATTCTTTAAAAAAGCAGCAATGCTCGATGGACAGTATTTCTTTAAAATACTACAAATCTCTGTTTGTAACACCGTTTCTTGATTGCAATTTAAACTTTATTATTCAGTCAATCCTAAACAATGCAGGACGTGTAAAACAACAACAACAACAAACGGACTGACTTAACGCAAGTGATCGTCGTTAGTTCATTACTGGATAAGATCCAAATAAAACTAATTAGGTATGTAGGAACTGTCGTGTAGGAAACGATGTAATTTAGTGTATAGGTTACTTACTTGATAGCAAAGGCTTCTACAGGCGGCCTAAATAGTGTTAGCTTGTATACGACCAAGTAAAATTATGGCTACTATAATTTAGTAGAAAAATGTTTAGTTAGCTAATCTAAACACAATAAACGACTGTAGAATATACAAAAGAATATCGCAAGTTAATCATAGTCTTATAGAAGTTTCCTTAGAAAAGGGAGGAAGGAGTCTACATGTAACGACTTTATTCTCACTGACTTTAGTTCGTTTTAACCTAACAAGCTAAAACAGTTTAGTGAATACTTGATAACTTAAATATGATGCTTCAACAGTATTTTGGTATTAAATAAGTAAATCCTAGGGGTAGAACAGTAAATATATTACCAATTTCTTGCAAATCAAGGAGTAGAATGTGGCAACTATAAAACTTGAAATACTGATAGAAGTCTATTATTACACTATTGTTCCAGAAACTAAAACCTACTAGATTACACCTAAATTGCTACCATAAATAAGAGCCGCGGCACTTGAAATTCTTTTAGGTAGGAATAGAGTAAATTAACCTATGAGACTTTTTTTTTTCCTTTTTATAAGCGATATCTTTGTACGCCACCAATACCAAGTGTGGGGCGCGCGTATACCCTATTAAATTGTATTACTCATCAGGATCTCTACCAGCCTACCTTCAAATTAAAATTATTTTAGGCAGGATTACATTAAATTAATTTATGAGATATTGGGCGTGGTCAAATATATCAATCGAAAGGGTTTGACCTCCTGCATCCAAAACAGTAATTAGATCTCAAATCGGTCAAGAGATGGCGGAGCTATGAGCTAAAAGTGTGTACTTGAAAAAAAAAATTACAACAAATAGCCGTTCTATGAGCCTGTATGTCACCGCTTAAAATCACAGCTCCTCTGCAGATAACTTACTAGAGACTATAAGTAACTACCTATCCTAAAACAATTCACAGCCCATCTGTAGGTAAATTCAAGATTGCACGTAACTTCCTACTTTAAAACGAATAACATCTCATCTGTAGGTAACGTACTAGATTACATGTAACTTGTTATATTAAATAAAATGATAGCTCATCTGTTGTTAACACACAAGATTGAATGTACATTGCTACCATAAAACGAATGACAGCTCATCTATGGGTAACATGCTAGATTAAACGTAAGTTACTAGCCTAAAATAACAATTCATCTACAGGCAACATACTAGACTGCGAAACTTGCTACCACCCCAAAAAATTACAGCTCATATGTATATAACATACTATATTGCACGTAGTTTTCTACCCTAAATGAAATGAAATTTCATTTGCAGATAACATACTAAACCATACGTAATTATTTTCCCTAAAACAGGTGACAATTCATCTGTACGTAACATACTAGATTGCACGTGTAACGAATTTGTTGTTATGTATTTATTTTAACGTGAACGTTGTTTAGATTAAGTTTATATTTAAAAACATGCATAGTTTGTAGTGTTATATATGTATTGCGAAATACCCGCCTATTCTCCAAAATCGTAGAAGATTCTCGAGAGTAGGAATCAACAATATATCTATATACGTAAACGCTTTAACCAGTATTGTTACATAAGACTGAATTTTCTAGAAAACATTCCCAAGGCTATAAATATAATACGACGTGCCAAGAGAGTGTCTATTAGTATTTCGCTATAATCAGTGTGTTATAAACTTCGAAAGCTATAACTGTGATTTTTATAACGCTTATCAATCGAAAAACTTCAGATATTTGACCAGGAACCTCTACAAAGTTCGAACATTAAAAATTATTTAACTTCAGGGGATTCTTATTGGACATTAGTATGTTTACGAAAACATTATATAAATTCATCGTGGAAAGCTCAGCGTGTGTGGCCAGTAACTAACGGTAAATAACCTAACATAATCAGCGGAAACTCAATCTCTAATAGGCGTATGATCAGCGAGAACTACAGGGCTAGCTAGCTCCCTTTTTTGATAAACGAATCGTACCTGATAATTAACTCGCTCATCGTGAACCCTAGATGAGATATCGAAGAAGTTCCAATCTAGAAAGAAAACTTTATATTGTTTGTAAGTTTGTGAAAGTTTTGTTTATAAATCATTGTTTGTAATAAATATCTGTGATAATTGTTATTGTAAATTGTATTGTTGTGTGTATATTAAAACGTATTTGTGTTAAAAATAAAACGGTGTGTATCAATCAATCTTGTTGGCAAATATCATAAACTGACTATGTATCGGCTTTAATTTAAGTACTAAATCTAAAGTGCAGTTTAAATATTAAATTTAACTTATCAGTTAACTCGGCTTCGGACTATTCGAAATTCTAATGCGTAACACACGTAACTTGTTACCCAAAGATAAATGACATCTCATCTGTAGGAAACAAACTACATCGTACGTAACATACTACCCTAAAAAAATCAGATATCTCATCTGTTGGCAATATACTAAATTGCACGTAACTTTCTGACCGAAAAGAAATAACAAATCTCGAGGTAACATACTAGATTCTATGCAACTTGTTACCCTAAAATAAATGACATCTGAACTGTAGGTAACATCCTAAATTTCACGTAACTATCTATCTTACAACAAATGATAGCTCATATGCAGGTAACATACTTGATTATATCTAACTTGCTACCCTAAAACAAATGACAGCACATTTGTACGTAACATATTACACTGCACTTAACTTTCTACCCTAAAGCAACTAAAATCTCATCTGTAATCAACATACTATATTGCATGTGATTTGCTAGCCTAAAACAAATGACAGCACATTTGTACGTAACATATTACACTGCACTTAACTTTCTACCCTAAAGCAACTAAAATCTCATCTGTAATCAACATACTATATTGCATGTAATTTGCTAGCCTAAAACAAATGACATCTCATCGATACGTAACGTACTATATTACACGAAACTACTCCTTTATAACAGATGACGGCTCATCTGTAGGTAACATACTATATTGCAAGTAACTTGCTACCATAAAGCAAACGGAAGGTCATCTGTAAGTAACAAAGTAGACTGAATGTAGCTTGCTACCTCAAAACAACTGTTTGCTCCTCTTGAGGTAACATATTAGATTGAACGTAACTTTCTACCATTAAACGAATGACAGCTCATCTGTTGGTAAAATACTAAAGTACACGTGACTTTCTAGAGTAAAATAAATGAAAGTTCATCTGTAGGAAACATACTTGATTGCTCATATTTTAGTACTCTGAAATATATAACATCTCATCTGTAGGAAACATACTTGATTGCTCATATTTTAGCACTCTGAAATATATAACATCTCATCTGTAGGAAACATAATTGATTGCTCATATTTTAGCACTCTGAAATATATAACATCTCATCTGTAGGAAACATACTTGATTGCTCATATTTTAGTACTCTGAAATATATAACATCTCATCAGTAGGAAACATACTTGATTGCTCATATTTTAGTACCCTGAAGCAAATAACATCTCATCTGTAGGAAACATACTTGATTGCTCATATTTTAGTACTCTGAAACAAATAACATCTCATCTGTAGGTAAAATAATAGACTAGACATAACTTGCTACCCTAAAAAATGAAAGTTTATCTTTTTTTAATTTAAAATTTGTATTCAAGTTCAAAAAAATACTATACACTCAGTATAAAAACACAGAAAATAATAGTATATAAATTATATTATACAATTAAATAAAAATAAAGAAGTTCCACTAGACTATCCAAGTGTAGATAATAAAATACAATAAATAAATGAATTATATTTTTTTCATTAACAGTTATGCAACTTACAACTATTTCATCATATTATGATATATTTATACATGTTTTTCATCTCATCATTTTTTGCATGTTTTTATTTTATGTATTGATTATAAAAAGATTTTCTTGTTCCTTGTTTTTTGAGTTATTTATTTCTTTAATACTAACTTAATATATATATATTTATTACTAAACAGAAATCTTATTTCATTTATAATATTATTATAAAATTTTGGTGATTGGTAAAAATATATCTTTATAAATATTTCCTTTTTTAATTAGTACGTTTAAAATTTCCATGTTCTCCAGCTCTTGTTAGATACATTAGTTTTGTTTCTTGTCAGGTTTGAATATCTTTACTGAATCTAGTTAGTATTTTAAAATTTTTTAAATGCAGTTTAATGTGTTCATAGTGTGATAAGGATGATATGCATCTGATAATGTTTTTGTAACTCTATAAATACTCTTAAATTTGCTAAATATGCACCTCCCCAGCAGGTGAAACCATATTTTAGAATTGAATTAAACCAAGCATAATAAATAT